CCCGGGCGTCACCCCCCTCCTCCACGCGCGCGCGCCGCAAACTCACCTCCTTTACATTCTCCAGCACCATGTTCGAATGTCTATCAAACGCCTTGACGCGCGCCAGCAGTTTGCGGTTGTTGCGCAGCGAAATCAAGATCTGCGAGTGGTTGCGCACGCTCTGCTGCAGCACTGACAGCGGGCCTTGGCTCGTCTCGTACTCCTCCAACGCGCGCAGCTGCTCCGGCTCGAGCTCCGACTTGGGCGTGTTGAGATACTGACTGTGTGGGAAAGATGTGAGCAGGGAAGCAGCGAGGGAAGAGCAGAGGCCAGCGCACCTCATGCTGGCCGATGAGTGCGGGGGGATGAGGTGGCAAGGCAAGCAGGCGCGGGCGGCGCAGCGGTCGAGATGCCAGGCGGCGGCGGCACGTGACGGCGGGCGGCGCTCCAGCTTTTGGCTCGCGGCGGCGCTTCGCTTGCTTCCTTGCCACTTCTCCACCTCGCCTCTTCCTTCTCGGCCCTCACCCTCCCTTGCGCCATGAAGCTCGACGCCACCGATCTGCGCTATCTCACCGCCGACGAGTTCCGCGTGCTGCGCGCCGTCGAGTCTGGCTCAGCGCACGCCGAGGTTGTCTCGGCCAGCACGATCGCCGCGCTCTCGGCGCTGCGCCATGCCGGCATCAACAAGCTCATGGGCGCGCTGGCCAAGCGCCACCTCATTGCGCGCGAGCAGAACATCAAGTACGACGGATACCGCCTCACCTATGGCGGCTATGACTTTTTGGCACTCAGAGCCATGACGCAGAATGAGAATGTTGTCGGCGTGGGCACGAGAGTGGGAGTGGGAAAGGAGAGCGGTGAGTGGTGTTTGGATGTGTGTGACGCAGCGAGCAGGGGCAGCACACACACACACACACGCCTCCCCCCCCCTCTTTTGTGCGCATGTTCCTGCGGGTGAGGGGCAAGGGTGAAGAACGTGTGGGCAGGCCGGTCGCGCTTCCTCCTGCGCCTTCGTGCGCCACGTCGGCGCGAGGCTTTGCCGCTCTTTTGCCGCCCCCCCC